CCCTCTGCGTGAGTACAGTTTATATACAGCGGACATTAGCTGTGGTATATAAACTATAGCCCTCTGATCTGAGTCTTGGTAGTTATATTTGCTGCATTAACAGGCAAATACAACACCAAAACCATATGGATGTCGTGAGATCGGCGGATCAGACTGGCGACGTTTTACAGTTGCTGGGCCATTAACCGCAGTTGTAAAACGGCAACAGACTGGTAGATGCGTCGAATTTGCACTTATCCCCTACAGTGTGTGGTCGCAAGGTCCCGCAACTTACAAATTTCTTGTAAGGGATCCTGGACAGATGAGCCATTACCTCAGCTGGAAAAATAACTCCTTTACACTACTCGTAACTTGCAGTCAGTATCATTGCCGACACTGTGGCAGTGCGAATTGGGACCAGTTCTGTCCACTTGCTGAACTTATCCAGCAGCAGCAGCAGATAGGCGGTGCCCCTCATGGACCGTGGTAAAGGCCCCGCCAAGTCGTCATATGAAGTCCAACGATTCTGCATCTGGCCGGGAGTACATTTTGCCAGTTGCTTGTCGTTGTTGGACTTGGAGCGCTAACATGAAAGGCATTTGTGGACATATTTGGCGACATCTCGATACAGGCCTGGCCAGTGATAATGGTCTGCGACTCGTGAGCACGTTTTGCGAACTCCTATGTGACGAGCCGTGACGTCGTCAAGGCACTCCTTCAGGATCCACAAATGTCCGCGCACAGCCTCCATGGGGACACATCTTCGTCTCCTAGCACATTGGCGACACGCCTTTACAGTCGTCCATTCTGCGCTGCGTAATCAGATTACTTTAATAATCTTTTGTTCATACCCTGTACCCAACGGGTAAAGGGTATACTAGTTTTGTGCGAATGTATGTAACAGGCAGAAGGAGGCTTGTCAGACCCCACAAAGTAAATATTCTTGTCCGTCCCTTGGTCTGTCCGTCCCTTCGTCTGTTCGTTCCTGCGTCTGTCCATCCGTCTGTCTGTATGAATGCAAGGATTTCAGAAAGTATAAGAGCAAGAATAACCAAATATCCTAAGACCGAGAAAGTACGAGTTTAAGTTTTTTTTTCGATGCACCTCCCACTCCCGCGCAATTCGTTTTTTCTCCATAGCCCCCGTAATTTTTGGAATATTGAAATTTGGTTAATACATCCTGTTAGTGATTATGGGTCCGTATGTTAAGTTTCATAATGATTGTTCACTTCTGAAGAAAGTTATAGCCACAAAGAAAATCGCTCCACATGCTCTGCCTGCAGCTCTGACCGCAGCTGTTGTTATCGGTGCTGCTTTGGTTCAAGATTGTGCTGCATGGGTACGATTTTTTCCTTGCTTTGCAAGAGTGTCTGCCCTCTCTGCATTGGTGGCGTAGGAGAAAGGTTAAATAACTCAATTTTTATACTCTGTACATGAAATGTAAAAGAGTATAATAAGTATGCGGGAGCTGAAAAATGTAACAGGCAGAAGGAGGCCTGGCAGACCCCACTACAAAGTATATATATTCTTGATCAGCATGACAAGACGAGTCGATGTATGTATGTCTGTCTGTCCGTCCGTCCATATGAACACCTGGATCTCAGAGACTATCAGAGATAGAGTTTGTACGCTATACGAGTTTGTTTTACTTTTTTGATTCCCCCCCCCCCCCCCACTACCCGTAATGGGGGTTTTCCCGATTTTCCATTCGTATAAACGCCTATATCTCGGAGACTATAAGACCTAGGGTTACCAAATTTTAGTCCAAGAAGCCTTTTGTGAATACGCAGAAAATATTGTATTTTATTTTGAAATTTCCCTCCCTCCCCCTCTCGCACGCAAAACGTGATTTTCTCTAACTCCCGTAATTGCATATACCTCACCTTAGTTATTATGTGTCCGTATGCCAAGTTTCACTATGATACACCGATTTAACAAGAAGTTATAGCCTTCAATATACTTGCTGCCCAAGTGCTGCCCGCAGCTGTTGTTGATGTTGGTGCTTTGGTTGACTGCAAACATGCTTACACAGACACATAAACATACATACACTCACATTCTTTGTATATGAGCAATTATACACCCTTTACGTGAGTTCGAATACCGAGAGAGGTAAAATCGATCAAAATTTTTGTTTTAATTTCTATAATTATTCTAAACATATGTACAGAGTAATTCAAAGTCGAGACACCCGATATATATAGAGATAACGCACACATAATTTCTATATAATTATCTACTTTTGCTTTAAATTTCATCTAAATCGGATCGTTCTAAGAAAAGTTATTAGCGAAACAACTTTACTTCGGTACTACGCCCACAAGCTGCAGCATCAAGTTCGCTCTTCTTCTTCCTCTCTTTGCTTCTGCTATGTGCGCATATAACTCAGTGACGGAAGTTTACCTTGGTACAGGGTATTACACTGTCGGGCTTGCTCGACTGTAGCGTTCTCTCTTGTTTTCAATAGTGCAGCTTTCAATGACCTTTTTTTATTTGTGGTGTAGTGTGCACACATAAGGAATACACACTGTAACACTTTGTTGCAATGTTTATACAAACTCAAGAGCTAAGCACAATCCATACGCGACGTAATATGATCGCGCATGCATTGGGCGACATAAGCGCAGCGTCAGTGCAATTAGTGTCAGCCACCTCAAGTGCACATAACATACTCTCTCGCGCTCTCGCTGCCAACAGCGCTGAGTACAAGTACATAAGTAAAATACATAATGCGGCCGCTCCGCTGCCAGCGTCTCTGGCAGCGCAGCTACGAGGCCTTAGCTAAGTTCACTTTAAGTCAAAATGTAAGAAGTCAGTTTTAAGTTTATGTTTGAGCTCTGAGCTGTAATAAAGCTTTAATAAAATAACTCCAAGTGTTTATAATGGGGCCCCGTCAATTCTAGTATTTGATGGGGCTCCACATATTATTACAGTGGGTTATGATTGCACAAACATATTTATACTTTTTGAAAAGGGCATTGAATAACCTTTAATTTCATATTAAAACATGCACACGTTTCACATAACAATAATACAAAAAAAAAAAAACAATTTAAATAAGACAACTTCATAATACACGAAACATTTTTGACGGCAACATTATTTTTTTAAATAGGGCCTTAAAAAAGGGAAATGTGAACATAAATTGTAAAACTGACATTATATAAAAAAAATATGCCTTTGAGTTGTAATTTTTAATAAGTTTTCTAATTTTTGCGCACGATGGCACGAGGTAAGCCAGTTTGTGAGTAAGGTTGAACTTCAAATATAGATAAATTCAATTTGTCCAACAGCTATGGCAAAGTAAGAAAAAATCGTATGCTTTAAAAGTCTCCAATACAAAATAATGTGCAAAGGTATAGAATGATTGACAATATTCACAGTAGGAGGAGGTCGAGTCTCGAAAATAACTACACGTGACAAAAAGAAGTTTGTCGACTATAAGTCAAAATCAGCGAAGTACTGTGAGAGATATAGCGGCAAAATGGTCTGAAAATATTGGGAAAACAGTAAAACATGAATGGACGCGACAGAAAATGAAACGAACTTAATATGGCTTATTTAAGGTATGATTGCAGCTCCTGTTGAACATAACAAATAATTTTGATGTCTTTAGGCCAAAGAAAAACGTTTGCTCACAGCTTTGCCAATCAAAAAAACACGACTGCTATGGGCAAGAGAAAGACAGAACTGGGTACTAAGGCAGAGGAACTCTATTATTTTTAGCGAGGAATCCAAATTTGATGTGTTTGTCGGTGATGCTGAAAAACGAGTAATATAAAAGCGTACGGACGCATGTCACAAAGGTTGTCTTAGGCGTTCAACCAAGTTTCTAGCAATCACAATGGTGAGGGTGCATATTAGCCAAGGGTGTGGGAAACTTTACTTCATATACGGAGCTGTATATGCAGAAAAATACAAGTTTATCTTACAAAGTAACCTCATTTCACAGCTTTGTGACTGTGGGGAATACTTTTCAACGCGATGTTGCATCTACACACCCCGCAAAAACAACCGATTACTGGGTTCAAGAGAATGGTATTGATGGCCTAGATAGGACATCATCAATTCCAGGTCTAAGCCCAATAGAAAACTTGTGGGAAATCATTAAAAGAAAGCAAAAATATTTCGTGTTGACTTATTTAAATTGATTTTTTGCATTATTGTTTGTGAAACGTGTGCATGTTTTGATAAGAAATTAATGGTAGTTCAATTACTTTTTTAAAAATTATAAATATGTTTGGGCAATAATCACCTAAAAAGAAATATAAGTCATTAAAAGTTGCACTATCGAAAAAAACGTAGCCGTACCAATTAATAGTAGTTAGGGCTCGTATATCGTATACATGCGTAGCTCCGTTATTCGGTTCCTGCTTTACTATCGCTTACTCAGTCGTTGCCTAGCGCCGGTAACTGTAAACTTTTGGCATTTTGCCTTTGCAATTAAAAGGCGCAGATGATCAAACAATATGAACGAAAGAATAAGGCGGTGCCAATAACTTGCAGTTGCCGTTGTTGCTTTTCGATTCAAAAATATTATTTATGATTTACAACCATAGAACGCTATTTATTACAATTAAACAACAGTCTTCGATGGTCTACTGCATATATACAACCATATACCTATACCTATAACATATGTACCATATAACCGTACGAAGAACAGTGTATGTGTAGTCCGTCAAGGGCGTACGCAGCTTTCTCCAAAGGTGGACCAATAAATTTTGGTTAAATAATGCACGGTGTGTTTAAATAATAATTTATGCATATGATTAATAAAATACAAATCCAACTCAGTTCACACCCCACTTTAGTTTTTTCACTTTTGAATTCTTTTATGATTATAAAAACCGAATTTGAAGTTGATTGGTGCAAAAATGCGGATTTTTCAAACATATTTTGGAGCTCGTTTTCCCCCATTTGAAACTCGAATAGAGATAATATTTTCCTTTACTTCGACAGCGTTATTATATTAAATTAAGAAATATGTATATGTGTTTTTTTAAATAAATCGTACTCACGGCAATATCCAAAAAGTCAATTAGTTGCGTTAGCCAAGAATGGCCGGGAAGGGTTGCAGTATGCCTTAAAATTACTCCGTTAATCCCAAATGAAACTTTCATTCTCTAAAATAAATATTATAAAAGAAATTTTTAGTTACACTGAAAAAAATCTTAATTTTTAAGCGGAACTTTTTAAAAATAAAAACGTTTTAAACTCAGTTTTTTTGCAAAAATCTTAAAACCTAAGAAACAAAACAAGTAAAAAATCTAAAGTCGGGTGTCCCGACTTTGAAATACTCTGTACATATGTGTAGAATAGTTATGCGTGTATGTCTCGTGTGCCTGAGCAAAGCAGTAACAACAACAACAGCTGCGGGCACTGCTTGGTCTTATGGTTATAACTTCCTGTTAAATCGGCTTATCATTATGGAACATGGCACTTGGACTTATAATCACTAACTACAGGTATTTGCCAAGTTTGAATTCGAAATTCCACGAAATACGGGAGTTATGGATTGCAGTGGAGGGGGAGAAGGGAGGGAAATTCGGACAGACAGACAGACGGGCAGACAGACAGGCAAACAGACAGGGCTAGATCGACTCGTCTTGTCATTCTGATCAAGAATATATATACTTTGTGGGGTCTGCCACGCCTCCTTCTGCTTGTTACATTGTTCAGCTCGCGCAAACCTAAGATACTCTTGTACATTTCATGTACAGCGTACAACTACTGTTGCCTAAGGATAAGGAGAGTCTACATGACTATCGATTTCTGCCGTTATGCCGTTATTTTAAATATACACTTTTTTTTTTTAATTTAAAATGCGTTTACTTTGCTGTTAATATTTTTTCAATTATTACTTTTGCAACACATTTTCAGAACTGTAAAGTTTCTCGAGAAATGTATACTCAAGTAAGGCGGAACAATGTAAGAAACAAACGTAAACACAATGCACAATCAATGCATTTAGGTCTTATTAACATTCGTTAAATATATGTAGCAGGTCTTGTCCGTGTTTGCTGGCTCAGTATGTGTGCTAACAATTATACGTTTATTTACTACATGATATTTCTCTTCCGACACTCTCTAAAGTTTCAAAGCAAATTACTTTCGAGAGCTAGGACATAAAGTACACTAAATGCTATGTATTATATATGTACATACATATGTATATTTATGTACACTACCGCTCAACTGAATAGGTTCAACGATTCTCAAAAGTTCAAATGGTTATATCTTTTCAATCAAATCGTCGATTTTGATCAAATAAAATTTTGTAGGAAGAATAGTTTATTGTTAATAAAACATAACATTAAATGCCTATTTTTTTTGGCTCAATTGAATAGGTTCAGTAACTTAAAAACTAAAAAAGTAAATAATAAACGCGTTTTTCATGGCTTTAATAACTTAAAACATAAAAATAAACTAATTACGAGTAAATTAGTATTTAGTACAACCATCTTTGGTTGTAATATCTTCAAAGATTCGATCTCTTAAGGACTTATAATAATTTTCTAGGACTGTAATCGATATAGTAGCGCAGGATTTTTGTATGGCGTCAATTAGGCTCTCAGTGTCGTTAAATTGTCGCCCGCCTTCGTATACTTTTCGGGACAACAATCCCCAAGCGTTTTCGATAGTGTTTAGGTCAGGTGAATATGGCGACCACTCGAGCAACTCAACATTTTGGTCCTTGATTCACTGTTTTACCACTTTTGCGGTTTGAATGGGACCGTTGTCTTATTGAAACAACCATGGAATCGGTCCAAAAATATTAGAAAAATGTGGAAATGCTTTTTGGATCACAGTTTTGTACACATTTGCATTCATTTTTGTTGACACAAACTGAAGCTCACACGTCTCATAGTACGAAATCGCACCCCACACCACCCCAACTGTGATTTCGACTCAAAACACATTCTTCCTTTCATAAGTCGTGATAGTAGAAGTTATAGCCATCCGTTACTTCCAGGCTGAATTTTTTTCCATCGTTAAAACTACCTTCTACCATTGATTGTCCCAGGACATGTGCTTTCTGGCAAATCGTAAGCGTGTCGCCTCACGTGTGTCATTGAGAGGTGGTTTTCTTTTTATTTTTAGTCTCTTCAAATGCTTGGCACTCCGAATAGTCCGTTTTACCGTTGCCAAACTTGCGGTTACACCGCATTCTTCCCTGATTTTAGCCGCAGAAAGTTGGGAATTAGAGGCGGTTCTAAGGATTCATCTTCTGTCGGCTGGAATTGTCGCATGCGGAGACCCTCCTTTCATATTTTTCCCGTAAAATTCTTCATTGCGCACAAAATTACCAACAACATTTTGACTTATTCCAATTATCAGTGCAATTTCGCGCTGATTTAGGCCGGAATTGAGATATCCTTTTATTTGACCTTTTTCAAAGTCATTCAATTGTTTCTCGCGACCCATTCCACCAAAAAACAACGGTAAATACTTCTAATTACAATTAGAAAAAATGTTGACACCATTAACTTCACGCTGTCAATCACAAAGTAAAACTGAAGTAATTGAACCTATTCTGATGAGCCAAAAAAATGCAGCGTTTTTAGGCAATGTAAAACGAAAGAAAATTTCCTCAACTACCGTTTGAAAAATCCCGTTACTTGTTTATGCTATATTAAATGTAAAAAAATAAAGGTTCACAACATATAATTTTAAAAAATGTATGTGCAGTACAAGCTGAAATATTGCCTGCGTGCAAGCAATGACCGGTTGTGAACGAACGCTCACCAACCAGTCAGTTCGACTCACAACTGCAAAGACTCAGAATGAGCGGCGGTGACCAAAACTTTTTGCCTGCATGCAAGAAATGATCGAATGCGTATTTACAATCATGCCCGCATGACCAAAATGACCAATGATATCGGCGGGTGCACGTGCACTTGCATTTTCTAATGTTTTTTCGGCTATTAGTTCAATAGTAACTTCATATACAAGTATGTATATGCATATAAATTAAAGAAGCCAACAAAACTATTAGCGAAAAGAAATACCTTCTTTTTTATTTAAATTAAAAAAAGTTATACTATTTAAATTTATATTAATTTGTTTACTTTAAGAAATTTGAGTTCCTTTTTTATGAAATAAAAATAATATTAAGTTTAATTATCATTTGTTTACTTTAAGAAATTTGATTTCCTTATTTTATCATCATGGTACATATTTATCATAATAGAAAAATAAATGCATAAATATGTTTTGCTTTAATTCTGTGCCTCTTTATTTAAAATACGTACCTACACATGTTTCCGCATAATTACAAACATAACATACACGCACATACATACATACATTTTTTGTACGGTCAGACGCAGGTACCTACGGTCAGGCTTAGGTAAAACCCGCGCAATACTCGAGTATTACCCGAGTACAGATAGCGCAATACCCAAACAATACTCGACAAATAACGGCACTATACTCGTTCGATCAAACGCTCATTCTGTAAAGTCTGGTTTGCTTCAATCAGGACCCAGTCATGTTAAACGAAGTGACCGAGCCTGAAGTGTTTGAAAGCAACCCAATCAAGGCTGGTACCCGTTCGCAACGAACAGAATACTCGAAGTGCCCGAGCCTGAACTGTTTGAAAGCAAACCAGTCAAGGCCGGTACTCGTTCGAACCGACCGCAATAAGCAAAGTGGTGTGCTCGAAAGCAAACCAATCAAGTCCGGTGGTTGTTCGTAAAAATAGAAAGATTGCTCATGCCAGTTCGATCATAAGAAAAATGCTGAGAGTACTCGACTCGTTCGAGCTCGTTTGCAGCCAAGCAAAGATCTGATTTGATTGAATTTTCAGCAAGGGTGGTCGAACATACTTGTCGCAGTTCTCTGATATGTACATACATACATATATGTATATGTATATGTATGTACAAAAGGTCTGCGAAATAAGTCACCTTATCAACATATTTTTCTTAATTAAAACAAAAATCTTCGATATTTTAACATGATTGTAATTTTTCTTAAACTTTATAAAATGACAGTTTAAATTCAGTTTAGTAATATTTAAGAAATAATAAAAAACTGTTTTAAAAATGAAATAAAAATTTTTCAGAACGAAATAATTGAACTATTCAAATACAAAAAAACTATATTTATATCTCGATATACTTGTGTTTTTAGCGTTAATTGTTTAGATATGTCCTCCATTACTATTAATTACTCTTAACATGCGATTTGGCATTGAACTAACCAAGTTTTGAAGAAATGATCCGTCCAATTTGGCCCACTCTGTTACGATTGCTTCTTTTAATTCTTTCAAGGATCTAAATTGTCTGCCATGTATGTAAACCTTACTGGAAAGGATTCCCCAAAGGTTCTCTATGGGATTAAGATATGGACTTTTTGCAGGCCACATCAAAAGTGGTATTTTTTATGTGAGACAAAGCATATAGGACTCTTTCCAGCAAAGCAAAATGCAACCCACACCATTAGCGATCCTCCTTGAAAATTGCGCGACACTTTCATTTGTTTGGGGGTCCTGAGGTCACGATAATAATATTGATATCCATCTGGTCCATCTAAATTAAATTTTTTTTCATCACTGAAAATAATTTTTTTCCACTCCAGGTCCCAAAACTTATGCATCTCTGCAAAGTGCATGCGGGCAACTTTGTGCCGAGGAAGTAGTTCACATTTGACGGTTTTTTTCATATGAAATGAATTGATCGGCTCGTAAAATTTGTTGCACGCGACGTTTTGACACTAAGAGATCCAGTTCCTGACAAATTTCGCCTGCGCTCAGGTTTTCTTTGAGTTCTAACGATTTTATTCTCCTCTTATTGCGATTTTGTACCAATGGCGGGCGACCGGAGCGTGGCTTTTTTCCGTGGTGTTCGGGGTCTTTCAAAAACTTTTGTATAGTAAAAAAGATGTGTTCCAAAGTAAACAGGACTTTAAAAAAAAACAGAACAAATGGTTTTTTCGGCAAAATCAATTTATTTTATTCAAAATAGTCGAACGCGTGCTTTAGCTCGTTGGCCGGTATGGCCGCCAGTATGCCGGTGCAAGGCTTTTGAATGGCCTCTACGTCTGCATTACGCTTTCCTTTTATGGGCAAATGCACTTTTCCGAAAAGGTAGACGTAGCACGGTACCATATCATGTGAATA